TATTCTCTTAATTTTCTATAACATAGACCAAGGTTAGTTGTATTTTTCATATATCTAAAAATTCGTTTGACAACAATCAAGTGAGATTCTCTAGGATCTGACTGAAATCTAGCACATAAGCATACACTGAATAAAATATAAAGCCTAGAAGTAGTCAAGTATAGTAAGGAACATATCATACCTCTCTACAACTTCTGATCAACCTTACCACTTACCTCATCCTTATCTAGGACACATGTAGGATGCATAGGAGTCTTTTTTATTTTTCATTCAGATAGATTGAACTTATTCAAAAGTTCTTTGGTGCATTTTCTTTGGTGAATGAAGGTTTGATATGTTCCTTTATTGATTTGAATTCCTAGAAAGAACTTGAGTTTTCTCATTAAGCTCATTTCAAACTCAGCCTGCATAGACTTGGCAAAATCCTTGCACAGAGAGGCATTAGCAGAACCAAATATAATATGATCAACATATATTTGAGCTACCAAGATATCTTCTTTGAAAGTTTTACATAACAGATTAGTGTCAACCTTCCCTCTGTTGAAGTTGTTTTCTAAAAGAAAGTTGCTTAATATTTCATACCAAGCTCGTGGAACTTGTTTTAGACCGTACAGGGATTTTTTAAGTTTGTATACACAATTGGTATTTTCATTGTCTTCAAAACCAGGAGGTTGGTGCACATAAACTTCTTCAGTTATGTAACCATTCAAAAAGGTACTTTTAACATCCATATGATATAAGATGATGTTGCAATTAGAAGCAAATGAGATTAAGGGACGAATAGATTCTAACCTGGAAAATGGTGCAAAGATTTTTGTATAGTCTATTCCTTCTTGCTGACTATATCCTTGTGCAACCAGATAAGCCTTGTTTCTTACCACTTCACCTTTCTCATTGATCTTGTTTCGAAATACCCATTTGGTTCTAATCACATGAATTCCTTTGGGTCTTGGTACTAGATACCAAACATCATTGATTGAGAATTGTCTAAGTTCTTCCTCCATGGCTTGGGTCCAAGATTAATCAAGAAGAGCTTTATCGATAGAGACAGGTTCTGCCATCAATACTAAACTCATAAGTATTTCTTCAGAGGGTTTAAAGCGAGATCTGGTTCGAACAGGTTTTGTCTTATCTCCAAGAATTAGTTCCTCAGAATGTGGTAGACTTTCTCTTAGCCTCTTTAGAGGAGTCTGAGCATTTGAAGCTTCTGGTTGAGCGTTTTCTAATTCTTTTACTTATTGAACTTCAACAGTAGTTTTTTTACCTTCAGACTCTGAATAGGTGATTTCCACATCTGCAAGATTATCAACTAGCTTTGACCTTTTGAAGTCAAGCTTATCATCAAATCTAACATTAATTGATTCCTCAATAATGAGTGTTTCAGTATTATATACCTTGTATCCTTTTGAGCATTTAGAATATCCTAACATGATACAACTTTGAGCTTTTGAATCAAACTTGTTCATATTTTCTTTAGTGTTAAGGATAAAACAAGAGCATCTAAACGAATGGATGAAATTACGAAATGTTAGATTTATTGTTCTTCCACAATTCATAAGGAGTCTTTCCAAGAATAGGTCTAATAAAGACTATATTCTGGATATAACACGTTGTATTTACAGCCTCTACCCAGAAGTACTTTTCCATATTGGTTTCATTGATCATGGTCCTAGCCATTTCTTGTAAAGTTTTATTCTTCCTCTCAACAACTCCATTTTGCTGTGGAGTTCTTGGACAGGAGAACTCATAGGAAATTCCATTTTCATCAAAGAGTCTTTCAAAATATTTGTTTTCAAATTCTCCACCATGATCACTTCTAACCCTGACAATTTTGAGATTCATCTCATTTTGAACTTGAGCATAGAAGGTAGTGAATATAGAATGTGACTCATATTTGTGTTTGAGAAACTTCACTCATGTCCATCTATTGGAGTCATCTACAATGACTAATCCATACTTTTTTCCATTGATTGACGCAGTTTTCACTGGCCCAAACAAATCAATGTGAAGAAGTTCCAATGGTCTGGAGGAGGAAACAACATTTTTAGTTTGAAAGAGGTTTTCGAAAACTTGCCTTTCTGACATCCTTCACAAAGACTATCTGAAGTAAAATTCAGTTTTGGTTGGCCTCTAACAAGATCAAGCTTGTTCAGCTGAGATATTCTTCTCAAGCTAACATGACCTAACCGTCTGTGCCACGTTCATTGCTCTTCATTAACAGACATGAGACGTTTTTAATTTTGCTCTTTAAGGTCAAAAAGTATGATCTTATAAGTGTTGTTTCTTCTCTTTCTATTGAAAAGGTGAAACAACCAGCTGAAAATCATCAAACAATGCAGTCTCCATCGAACTTCTTTTATCCCACCTGAAGGGAAAGGTAACCTGAGAAGGGAGAAGTCACTGTCTTGCAACCGAGAGATCGGGTAAGGGAGTCTGTTATGTGGGGGGGAAGGTATTAGCACCTCACATACCCATAGTACTCTATGATATCCACTCTTGTTGTCTATCTTATGGGTGTGTTAAAACTATGCTTCTTGTTCACTACTGCTAAAGGGAAGAATGCATGCAAAAGGAATGAGAAAATAATATAGGGAAAATAAAGTTGTACTCGCTTGGGCCCTACCCCAATGCCTATGTATTCTTTTTGAGGAATCAGAGTTACTATAGTTCGGCTCACATGTTTTGTTTGTTTTGTGTTTTTTATGAACAATGTTAATTCCTCCTTCTATCGCAGCTCGACCTTTGGAGACTCATGTGTTGGCATAAAAGTAAATTAATCATGTCCTTACTGAAAAATGGTTTTGAGTTACGCCCTCGAGGAAAGATGCCACATTTGATTGGTTTGTGTTTTGTTACCTTAAAAAAGGGTTTAAGTGTGATTAGCATGTTTTATGCCTTGATAAGAAAAATGAAGTTTTAGTTTTATATGCAAGGATGCAAAAAGCAAAGAAAAGAGTCTACGGGGGACTAGCCTATTTCTAACCTAATGTTATAATACAATGGTAGCCCTACGTCAAGGATGAAAGGTAAATCTCTACCTAATGTTAGCATGCGTGGTTTGCAACCTAAGGTCTAACTTGCATCCGAAATGAGAAAGCACATCCTAAGGGAACATGGTATGTACAAGGATAAAACAAACAAGCTCGAAAGAGCATGCACATAAAATGGTAAGGAAAATAATCGAAATGCTTTAGCTTAGCGGAACATATCACCCAAGACAAACAAGCGGGAATAGGATGTAAAACTAAAATATGATGTCCAAAGCGACTTAACACCTAACCAAGATATAGGAGATCAAGGTAGGCGATATAAGACAATATGAACGATCACATAGTGTTAGAATCAGCCAATGTGAACTCCTGACAAAGTGTGGGGGTTCAATTGCGCAACCCTTCCTCACTTGGCAAATCGATAACAAGAGAAGACATAACTACGAAGCTTCGTGGTGCGTCACGAGCTAAGGATGACACGGACGAAATTGTAGGGGTTGATTGCAAACCCTCCCCACTCGCCTCCTTTTGAGGACTTCAATAAGGGATGGGGGATAATGTGGGCACAAATATAAACACACCTGCAAAATACCTACACAAAGGTAGGGTTTTAAACAAACCACACACAAGTAGCACACAACGATAAATAATGCAGAATTGCCCTAAACGGGTCTTTAAATAAACCAGAGGGGTTCTTGACATGATCAGCAATGAAGACCCCCATCATACATCTCTACCCTACTTCTCATGGCAAGGAAAGCAGTAAATCCCTACTTCTCATGATTTCTATAAAAGCGGTAAAGAAATGCAATAAAGTGTGGAGAAATACAAAGGTAGTAGCAGCGACTACCACAAGCAAGCTAGTCGTCGAAAGCGGGCGAAAGCAATGGAGAAGTAGGGAGTACGCGTTGAGCAAGCTTCACCAATAAACAGAAAAATTCAGAAATAATATCCAACTAAGATCAAGGCAAATGCATGTTACGAATGCAACACGTAATCAGAAGTTCCTGCATAAAGTATCATAAAATATCACATGCATCAAGACAACATATAATATGATATGAATTTCTCAAGACGGTGAAAAATAAGGTGTGTCGCATCAGAAGCGAGCATAAGCCATATGCTTCAATCAGATAACTACATGTTATGTTACATGATCGAAAGAAAAAGGAATGTACCTTGCACAATGAACAAACACGTCAAAAATAGCATGGCAAAGCGGGATGAAAATATGGGTAAAAAGTATTTTTATTTATTAGTTTTTATGTGAAGAGAATTCTAAAAAACTAAAGAATTAATTCCTAAAATAATTTCTAGTATATTCTACTATTATTATTTTGTTTTTATCATATGCAAAAACCTATCAAAGCTATAGAATTAGTTCCTAAAAATCGATTAAAAACTAACAAATTTTATTGATCTTATTACAATTTTATCATAGAAAAATTAAAAGGAAAAAATCTAAATCTACATCCTTTTTTGTCCTTCTATCATCAAGTTTTATTAGGAAAATTTAAAAGAATATTTTAAACTAAAAGAAAAAAATTAAAACAATTAGAGAGAGTCGGGGGGTGAAAACTGATTCATCGGTTCTGTTGGTTTTTGACTCAACTTCGCTTCCGCCGGCTTCGCTCATCTCTGTTTTCTCCTTTCACCGATTCAAACCTCACTCACATCTTCGCTTCTCTCTTAATTCACAACCGCCGTCTCGGTTTTGTTCTCATCTCTCTTACGATTCCGGATTTGGTGCAACTCTAAATCGATCAACAAAATCGAAGAAAGAAAGGAAAACACAAAAGCTTACCTGCAATGATCTGGAGAATAAAGAGAAATCCATAGAGGAGGTTCCACAGGTACGAAATTTCTTATACCTTTCTTCTTGTTCTTGTTCCATCTTTTCCTTCTTCTCCTTCTAATTTTGTGATTCGTGTGGAGCTGTTGTTGTAGCATTGATTCAAAAGCAGAAGGTTGAAGGTGTATGGTGATGATGACGAACAAATGTGAGGTGTGATGAAGGTTCTGCAGAGAGAGAGAGGGAAATTGATGAAGGTTGTAGTAGGTGATGGAGATTTTAGTGACATGGAACAGAGATTAGCGAGGGTATGATTATGGAGAGAAAACAGAGAGATTAGAGAATGAGGATGGAGGTTATGAGCTATTAGTTGTTGTTTGCAGAGAATAGAAAGAGAAGAAATTGTGGAGGGGTGAAGGTTCTGCGATGAGATTTCATAGGGAGGAAGTGCATGGAATTGAGATGAAGATTTCAGCGTGCAAACAGAGGAGAAGAGAGAATTGAGAGGATGAAGAAGAGATAAGAAGAAGTCATCTTCGAAAAATCCTTCTGGTGATCTCTTTTATTTCTGTATCTTTTCCTGTTATGTGAAATCTGAACCCCCTCCTTCCTTTCTGTTACGAATCTGTTATATCTCTTTTGGAAGTTTTTGTTAGAAGTTAGTTAGAGGTTGTTAGAGGTTTTTTTTCTGTGATCCCTCTCTCTCTCTGTTATAATCTGTTAAAAAACATTTAGGAAAGTTGTTAGTTTTGTTTCCCGCTGGTAGGGATTAGAAAGTTAGTGAATTATGTTTTGAACTGATGCCATGCCTTATGTTTTCTTTTGTCACATAAATACCTTTGCCATTAGACTTGAATTCAACCACATAGTGCCTGCCAAACAATGCTTCTATAACTGTTATTCTTCCAAGAAAACTCAACCACTTGAAGACCATTTCCCAAAAATCTTTCAGGAGTAGTGGGAATCTGAAGGCCATCTGTAGTTAAAGTTCTTAGTAGATAAGTTTTAATGTTGGTAAAGGTCTGACTCTTATGAACTGTAGCAAGTTTGATTTTCATTCTTTAACTGGATTCCGTAGCATGATTTTGAAGATCACCCATTTGTAGATATGCTCTTAAATGCATTTGGCAGCTTTGATTTTTTACTCAAGTACCACGGTTTTGGTCTGTTACTATCATAGTGATAATGTTGGGTTATTTATACTTTGAGTTTGAATTTGTATTATTGAAACTGATGGAAATATCGATGTTAAAATTGTTTTGTTATGATATACGCAGATTTGTATAGAACATGGCATGAACTAGTTCATGGTGGATAATTGTCAACTGTATTTTTCTCTAGCACCAATTTTGTTAATAGTTTTGACACAAAGTTGTCCCTGTTTTGATACAGGGCAAGTCATGGAATGCTGGCTTGGCGTGGTTGCAATTAGCAAAAAGGATAGGAAGTACATGGAGATCACCTTGGCAATTTAGAGTTTTTTAGGGAACATTTAGAAAATAAACTTGAATAAATATGACAAATGATGGGATGTAGACAGAAATTATATGATAACTTGATGCATTGGAACCTTGTAATTTGAATTCATTTTGATCAAAGTTAAAGTGGCTTGATTTACTTTGAACGAATTATGAATATAATTTGATAGAACCTTGATGATGTTGAAGTTTGATATGGTATTGTATTTTGGTATGATATTTGAAACGGAAATTTGTATGTAATTGGTAGGTATTGAACATGTATGGATTTTGTTGCCTTGTGATCTTTCAAATCCAATGACAAATCTAAATGATCAGAATGTTCTTCTCTTTGAATTACCAAGTTCTTATTTTAATTGTACTTTTAAGTATGTCTTTGTTATTTGAATACCAAGAAATTCACCTAAAACATTCAATCTTGCATGAACCGAATCTTGATAACTTTGATAAAACTTTGAGTTTAAGTTATCACTTGAATGAGTATTTCGAATTATCTCAAAAATCAATGAAACCTTGACTCCATTCTCAAATCCACACCAAACTCAACCTAAATTAGCTTGCATGACAAGCAACAAACAATTTGAAAGATGACACCTTAATTACAATCCACATCTTGTACCATGTCTTGACTATATGAGCGATAGAATAACAATGCCTTGATCACATTACATGTCAACAACGTCATCTATATACCATGATTTAAACCTTATAATTCACTCCACAAAGGAACCTTAATTGACAACCAATGATCTTGAAGAAAATGTCAAGAGGAAAACCTTGTAGATAGGAACAATTAAGAGCAAATGACTGATGATAATCACAAAACCCTGATATTCCTTGAGATACACCTTGATGGCTTAAAAGCCCATGATGAAGGTGTCCTTGTAGCTTGGTGATAAAGGAGTTCATGAATTAAAACCCTAGCTTCAAAAAAACTCTGATTGATGAAAGAATCAGATGATTCAAGCTTGAGTGAAGATGAGATCCTAAAAGCACGAGAAAACCTTAGTTTCTCGAAACCCTTGATCCCATGCCAAATTATTTATTAATGATGCATGACGTGAAAAATGACCTAATGAAAGTTATGTACATGAGATGAGAAGTGCAAAATGCATAAGCTAGATAGAAATGAAAGGGTGGGACAATTTGGGTATTACAGCTGCCCCTATTTAATCGTATTGAATATGAAAGTATGATTGGCGCGTGCCTTACGGACGTTCGAGGTAGAAGATGATTAAATACCAATGCCAAAAATTTGTTCTGAAAGAAAGCGTGAGTGGGTTATTTATTTCTGTGATATTTGTTGGGGAAAGAATTTTGGTTTTTCCTTAGTGAGAAGGGTTTATGGATGAACCTGGAAGGTGATTGCTCATAACATGGAAATAGTGTCGAAACGGGGTTTAGAAACCGACACAAAGAGTGCTTGAAAATCGACACGAAGAGTGTTTAGAAGTTGACGACAACGAGTGTTTAGAAATTGACACGATGAGTGTTTAGAAGAGAACACGACGAGTGTTTTAGAAACCGACACGATGAGCGAAAATAAATTACACGGCGAGTGATTAGAAATTGGCACGACATGTGCTTGGAAACCGACACGATGAGTGTTTAGAATTGGATACGACGAATGTTTAGAAACTGACACGATAAGCGAAGGTAAATGACATGATGAGCGTCTGAAGATAACATGACGAGTGCTTAGAAATCGACACAAAGAGAAAAGGTAAATGACACGACAAGCGTCTGAAGATAACACGACAAGTGTTTAGAAATTGGCTCAACGGGTGCTTGGAAACCGACATGACAAGCATATAAAGATAACACGACGAGTGTTTAGAAATTGGCACGACGAGTGTTAGAAGATGACTTCACCGAGGATCCATGATAGATTAACACAGAAGTGTGTTCAAAACAATACTGAAGAGTATCATAAGAGGACACGGACGAGTATCAAAGGAGATACCGACAAGTATCAAGGAAAGGATAACACATACGAGTATTTGAATCAATACGGACGAGTATCAACTGAAGATACGGACGGGTATCAAAGAAAGGATTACACTGACGAGTGTTTGAATTAATACGGACGAGTATCGAAAGAAGATACGGACGAGTATCAAGGAAAGGCTTAACATGGACGAGTGTTTGAATCAATACAGACGAGTATCGAAAGAAGATATGGACGAGTATCAAAGAAAGGTTTAACACGGGCGAGTGTTTGAATCAATACGGATGAGTATCGAAAGAAGATACGGACGAGTATCAAAGAAAGGTTTAACACGGATGAGTGTTTGAATTAATACAGATGAGTATCGAAAGAAGATACGAACGAGTATCAAGGAAAAGATTACACGGACGAGTGTTTGGGAAATTGACATAGACGAGTTATGGAATTTGAGTTAATTGTCAAATGAGAACTGACTACCAGACGAGAATTGGGTTTAGACTTGATCGTCAGACGGGAACCGACTAGCAGACGAGAACTAGAATTGAATGACAAGGTGTACTGATTTTGCTGGGAATAGATGAAGGTCATCAGTTGGGACTTTGGGAGAGATATCCTCTTGTGGGGTTGTATTGATGTCTTTGAATGATTCAGGTCTTTCATGTAAGGTACCCAATATGGCTTATGCTTTACGTGCATGTTTGAATTTATTTTGCTACAATGATCCATTTTGATGGATCGGCTACGCGCTTTTGAGGATGCAATGTTACGCAATGATAATTATATGCAATGCAAAGAAATAAACTCCAGGGAATAAGTCAAGGCTTGTTGGGAACTGTTTCTCATCATCGGTGATGCAAATACATAATGGCGCTAGAAACTTGCGGTACCAAGGATCACTGGTGTTGTACCCCAAAGTTTGCCCTCTCATGTTTCCCAAGGTTTCTTTTACATGGTTGGTTACAAATGCTTACCTAAAGAAAAATGAAATTTTGAGTGATAGCAATGGGTCTTTCGATTGGCATGCCAACAATTCCTTTCGATTTGCATCTGAATAATGTCCTTCGAAAGAAGGTTCGCCTATTAGCTTATGGGGTACATCATCCCTGTGAGTTTATGTGACGGCTTCGCCTAGAGTCTGTGAACTTCCGAAAAAGGAATACTTATCGAGAGATATCCTCTTGACGAGTAGGACTTTGGAAGGTCACCCATGACTCTTTGTAACGGCCTTAACCTAAAATCTCATGACGAGACCTTTCACGACTTTGAGACGAAAGTCTCGGTCCGTAAAGAGGCTCCACCTAAGGGAGGCCCTTGTGCCCTTTCCCTCTGGTGTTATTCATGACATCCTTAAGGAAGCCACCCGTTGTACCCCAAAATTATCCCTTCCATATTTCTCAAAACATTTCAAAAAAGATCTCCAAGTTGCTCAAGGTAGTCCAAGGGTTGGCCAGACAAGCTCTCTCCTAAGACAGTCTACCTCAAACTAGGGTTTCATGTTGCATTAAGATAATTGATTCCAAGTGATTCCAAATGCTCAACATTGTCCTAATATGTTCTCAAGATCATCCATGTCAAATTTCAAGCCTTGCAGAGGAAGTTTGCTCAGTCAATTGCTCAAAGGCCTGAAAATCGATTGTGCTAGGGCAAAAGTCAACTGTGGCTCACATACTGTCAAACTTCAAGATTTTTGGTCAACATCCTCATTTTGAAGTATATTTCATCATTTGATCAAGGTTTGATCATGATTCATCAAGGATTGTTCATAATTCATCAAGACTCAAAAGTTGCTAAATTAGGGTTTTGCAGGAAAAGTCAACTCAACCTTGACCAAGCATAAATTTCTCATACTTTATGAGAAATGACCCACCCAAATCTCATTTTGAAGAGGATGCAATTTCCTACAATCCATCTTCAGCTCCCAAGTTCAAAATATGCACTCACAAGAAGTTATGAATTTGGAGATTATAGGTCATTTTGAAAAGTCAACAAAAACACCTTTTTTGTCAAAGCTTCATACATGAGAATGGAATATCAAAATGAGATGATACTATAAGGGTTGATTAAATAAAATCTCAAGCTTTCTAAAAAGTACAATAACACCTCCAAAGAGTCAAAATTGAGGAAGTTATGCATTGGTGAAGTTGACCTTTTTTGCAAAATTGCCAAAAGTCAACTATCCCTAAAACTTCAAGTTTTGCCAAATGGGCCCAATCTTTTTCACTTGTTTTGAGTTGGAAACATAGTCCATGAGCTCTAGCCCTTTCCACTTGTCCATATCTTATTTTTATTATTTATTTTGATTTTTATTTGAATTAATTCAATTTAAATCAAAATAAATCAAATAAAATCCAAAATATTGAAAGTAAGAGATTTTGTGCTTATTTCAGCTGCCAATTACAGCTAGAAAATCATTCAAACTCGTATCAAGGCATGTATGCACAAAAAGATTGGATTTGGACCAATTTTGAAAAGTTTTTAAAAGTGTATCAAATCTAATCAAAAATCATTGAAGGAGAAAGATTTGGATGCAGTTATCAACCCTAATGCATTGCTTGGTACATAGAGTGCGTGCAGACCTAAAAAGAAGTTGGAAACAGGCGTAAGAGGCTGAACCAAAACTGGAAAAAAAAAACCAAGAAAAGTGTGAGATAGAAATCCCATTTGGAGGCAGTTTCAGGACCTTTGAACGGTCCCAATCGACTCCTGGGACTCTCAGCAAGCTAAAGCAATCAAGAACAAGTCCATTTCGGTCCCAAAACGCATTGTAAGTCCATCGCGACATAACTCTGTTCTTGAATTCGAATCTAATGATACAGGAATTGCTAACATGAATTGGTCATATATTCTTTATCTATGAGACATTTGCAAGCTTCCTGCATCATTTAATTTCATTTATATGGCCTGTAGCGAAATTCACCATTGTTAGGGTTTTGGAGTTTGTTTTAGGGTTTTTGATTATAGGGAAAATTAGCCTTGGTGAAGGATACCATCGTGTTCAGGATGATGAGACGAGTTGAACCATGGCGCTAGGTTTCATTTCTGCTCTTGG